AAGACAAGACAAGACAAGACAAGACAAGACAAGAGAAGATCAAGAGAAGAGAAGAGAAGATCAAGAGAAGAGAAGAGCAAAACAAAGAGGAGAGGAGATAAGATCAGAGGAGATGAGAAAAAATATTAGTCTAGGGTCCAGCTTTCAATTCAGTTTAAAAACTCAAATATTGCATCAGTTTCCAACAACTCAAACATACAAAAGAACTCTCATTACACTTCTCATGAACAACTTACAATATCGCCGACTTTTCTAGACGCAAATGATTTATTACTACTATTAAAGTAATAAAACATAGTCACACTTCAAGATGTCCTTTAAGATTGACCTGTCATAGAATTACTAAAGAAAATAACAAAAATATTTCCAATGTGTCACTCAAAAATGCAGTCATGTCTTATCAAACTACCCGCATTCCAAAATCTATCAATGCAAGTGGGATTACGTTGTTTGCTTTATTTAAGGAAAAACCTTTTTTAAACAGTTGGAAACTGATGTACTATGATAAAATGCCTGTTTGAAGCGGTATTTTCAATTGTACAAAGATGTTGTTTTTTTTTGCAAGAGGGACTATGTTGCTTTATTTAAGCAAAACCTTTTTTAAACAGTTAGAAACTGATGTACTATGATAAAATGCCTGTTTGTACAAAGATGTTTTGTTGCATTTGTGTTAGAAGAATGTTGCTTTGTCAGGCTTTTTTATAGAAAATACATATGGGAAATAAGCAAATGAAGGCCTAAACCTCATTTTCGAATAAAATGTTTGCTTTGGGTTAACACTTTGATTCCACTTTCATCGGTCATCTCCACTTCCAAACAAGTTAAACTTTCTGAATAACAAGATTTTAGCCTTTTACAACAGCCTTTCTTCAAGAAAATAGTTTTTAGCGTTCACTGCTTGAATACGAAAGGAAGTCTCTCTTGAATATGCTCGTTTAGCCAAGCATGGTCTAGAACTGAACATGGACTGGACTGGACCCGAGAAAACATGGACTGGGTTTAGAAAACATGGACCAGGTACAAAATGTAGACTCGGGGCCATAGTCAATATAGTCAATATATAGTCAATCAATCTTGCGGCATGAACGTGTGGATAATATATTACATTAGTAAAAATACACAGGTGATTATTGAATACCTCGCGCGCTGATTGGTCGAGAAACTCACACTATCACACGATAATCACCCCCAGCGATAATCCAAAATGGCGGCCAGCCGCTTTGTTGCTGTTACCGGGAAAAATGCCTTTTATCTTTTTTTTTTTTCTTTTTTAAAGAATCACCTGTGTATTTATACTAAAACAATTATTTGCCTCAGCCTCAATGAATATCGGAGAATATTTACCTCGCAGTTTGAAGACTCGTGTCTCGGTAAATATTAGAGAGTTTTAGATTGACTTTTTTTCTCCCCGCAAACGGCAAACGTGACCATGTTTTCATAGTTTTCCTGTACTTTACTTTACCTTTTACAAATCTTCTCACCAAAGACAAATATCCTTTTGTTTTTCTATACTACTTGGACTTTTTTGCGATACTTTTTAAGCTATTTAAAATAATTTTTTACTGGTCAACTGACGTTTCACGTTTGCCGTGAACGTAAATCTAAAACTCTCTATTCCCCGATATTCACTTCGCCTTCGGCGAATAATTGTTAAATAATGTGCACGAGTTCAGTTATAYTATTGGATATGATTCCGGTGAATTTTGAAAATATCGGTTTACAAACTAGTCAACATTTTTAACCATCACGTTAGAGATTAATAATGTTGACTATAGTTTATAAACCGATATTTAAATTCGCTGGAATCATATCCAAGAGTATAACTGAACTCGTGTACATTATTGTGTAATATAATATACACACACGTTCATGCCGCAAGATTGATTGATTATATATTGACTACATTGACTATGGCCCCGAGTCTACATTTTGTACCAGGTCCATGTTTTTTAAGCCCAGTCCATGTTTTCTTGTGTCCAGTCCAGTCCATGTTCTAGACCATGCCCACTTAGCCAATCTAAAAAGGGTTTGGCAGTTATAATCCACTATGTCTTTAGAAAATATAGGCTGGTTGATCTGACTAATAAAAATATTTTTTCTCCAGTGCTTGCTGACAGACTTCAAGAACGAACTCAAAGAATACAACATGGTAGAGCGAAGGAAAGCCGTCCTCAACATATTTTTCGTTCTTACTGCTGGAATTTTTTTCTATACGTTAGTTAATTCAAGAGAAATAAGGACACAAGCAAAAGGAAAACAGTTTGAGGAGGAAAATATTGCAGTTGACAAAAGAACGAATGGATTGAAGTTTGATGATTTGAATCCGGTTGCCAAGACGAAAGAGATGGAGAATTTGATAAAACAAAAAAGATTCCACATGAAAAAGGACTGCAACCATCCTCAAAAGCAAGAACAGCGGGACAAAATGGGAGACTTTGAATTTAGTGATGGTAAACTTGATGCTCTGGTAAGAGGAAAGATAAGAAAACCTAGAGCGGAGCCCGAGACATCACCGAGCTCGGAACCCGAGACATCACCGAGCTCGGAACCCGAGACATCACCGAGCTCGGAACCCGAGACATCACCGAGCTCGGAACCCGAAGTCAAACCGGAAAGCAAAGCAGAATCCGAAACCAATCCGGAATCGACATCGGAACCCGAACCATTACTGTGGGCAGAGCCCGAACCGGACTGGGATACAGCAGTGGACGTCTGGAAAACAGCTTGGCCTTTACATGTGTACGGACTTGCGAGTATATTTGTACTTTTTGGGATTATTTCTTTAATCGAGCTGATCAGAATTCACGTCAAAAGTACGAGAAAAACAGCTTTGAAAGTGAGTCTCTTAATCATTATGACAATTTTTTGTGTGACAAGGGCTGTCACGTTATTCACCGACCCGTACGGATCCAAAGGTATTATAAATCCCATCCTGTCACGCATTCTCTTCGCCATCGGTCACCCCTGTATTATCTCCGCTATGAGCCTACTTCTTCTAGTTTTGATTGACACCACGAAAATGAACATAGCCCCTCCCACATTTCAACGCGTCCAGTTCATCATTGCCGTCGTCTTTTTCCACATTGTTTTGGTATTAATAACAGACGTTTTAGTTACTTTTTACGTTGAAACGAAAGTACTCATCCTCATTTGCCAGATTTATTATCTACTCTTAGGATTCGTATTGACAATAGGTTATGCCAGAGTAGGATTCAAAATTGCTTCAAATTCCTCGGCTAGCGTGACGCGTGACGAAAAAATGGAAAAACTCAAGATTCTGATTGGTTTAGCCTCAGTCACCGGGTTCGCCTTAGTTTGTGCTACCATATATGGAGCCGCAGGGGTGTTTGGGATATATTCTAATGTCAAGGTCGTGGATCCCTGGCCCTGGTGGGCGTTTCAAACTGTTCTTCGAGTGCTTGAAATCGTCATGGTCGTGGTGCTCTTAGCCATGAATGTCAAAGTGACTGGTTCGGGACTCGGTATTCGGGAAATGTTCGGGAGATGCCATAGGAAACTATTCCAGAACAAAGTGGAAGATACAGTATCCGGCCCGCCGATAAATAACACTAACTCGTGGATGACGAACAGCGTGAATATGAATACTTAAAACGAAGAAAATGTACATCACTTTCATGCTAATTTTGGCGGGAAAACTCACGGATGGTTTGCTACCATCACTCATTAGAGCAGTTTTCGCATGACTGTGAAAAGTTCACGGCACAAACACGGCACTGCAAAGACCCAGCCAATAAAAAATCTAAAAAACATCACAGTCGCGGTAAGACATGAACTCTTCATCCAATCAAATGCACGAAACACGGCACGAACACGACGCGGACATGGTAACGACAAGACATGAGCTCTTCATCCAATCAAATGGACGAAACACGGCACGAACACGACGCGGACACGGTCACGACAAGACATGAACTCTTCAATCAATCAAATGTATGCACAAAACACGGCACGAACACGACGNCAAATGTATGCACAAAACACGGCACGAACACGACGCGGACACGGTCACGACAAGACATGAACTCTTCAATCAATCAAATGTATGCACAAAACACGTCACGAACACGACGCGGACACGGTCACGACAAGACACGAACTCTTCATCCAATCAAATACACGAAACACGGCACGAACACGACGCGGACACGGTCACGACAAGACATGAACTCTTCATCCAATCAAATGCACGAAACACGTCACGAACACGACGCGGACACGGTCACGACAAGGACACGGCACTGCTAGACCAATCACATTGAGAAAGAAAAAAGAAAGCCAATCAAAATTCTAGGAAACATCACGGTTGCGGCACGGCACTGAACTTTTCACAGTCATTCGAAATCTACTCTACTAAAGACGGGTAAACTCGGAATAGGGATTTTCCTATTTTGCCCCGAGGAAAATTATTTGAGATTTTGCCCGTAGGCTGCCCCTTCAAGGTACATTTACTACATATTAAAAATGTCGGTTACCTGTCAAGGTCTGGGAGGCTAGGATTGTACAGTCTTGCTTCTCTCAAGAGCTCAAAGATACGATCCTTGTACTGCAAACGAAACAAATAGTGGGTTAAAAGACTATTTAACTTTGGACATGTTTCCGTTCTTCAAACCCCTTGGGAATAAGGAATATATCAAATATATCTAATCAATAAACCGTTTTACAAATACCAACGGTAAAGTAAAGAATGCACGTCTCTTCCACAATACAAACACTTTGGAATTCCACGGACCTCCACTGGAACACGAGTATTCTACACAAACTCGAAGCTAACCCTGAGCCACAGAGAACTCAAAACTGGAGTACTGTCATCTTACGAGAAAGTAGATTTTTTCGTGGAACGACATGGCAAACGCACAGAGAAACAGTTAATGATTGGCGAGATTCTCGGAACCAATCACACCGTTGATAACACTGCTCAGCCAATGAAAATGCTCGTTCACGGTACCGTCATGCACGATCACAGCAGCGCAAGTTCGTTCATAGCATGCGTTTTTTTCAAAGTCAAGCGAAATAGACTTCTTTGCCTTGGGTATAAGGCTTTCTCATTTCAGACCATGTGTCATTCTCTTGATAATAGGATTTTTTGTTTAATACAATATTCACGTGTCTTCTAATGCGCAACCATTTAACACAGAAATTATGCTCTTGGGAATGACACGTTGTCTGAAATGGGAAAACATTACGCCAAAGAGGTTTATTTGCTCTTTCGGCCTTTAATCCTACCCGGATTTCTTCGACGTAGTGCCAGTCGGCGAGATCATCATCTAGAAACGCACGACAAAACTAAAGTAAAACAATTTTGCCTAAAGAGTGTTACCACAAGTACATTATTTGACAATTACACCCAAAGCCTTAATGGTCTATGAGGAGTCAATAGCCCATGGCCCATAGACGTTTCAATGTTTCAGTATCAACCTATTAATCGGTCAAATAAATGGATACAAACAATTTTGAAGTTAGGTTGAAATAATTGATTTTTGCTTTTTTTTGGTTTTCAAATATGCTACTTTTCGCTACTAGTATATCACTAATAGACCACTAGTAGGTCAGCCAATCAGAGGGCAGGATTTGTGATAGACCACTAGTAGATCAGCCAATGAGAGGGCAGGATTTGTGATAGACCACTAGTAGGTCAGCCAATCAGAGGGCAGGATTTGTGATATACCATTAGTTGTTTTTTTTTTCACAGCTTTATTTGGGAAAACTAATATTACAATGTATTGAATAGAAAGAAAAAAAATAGTTACCTAGAAAGGAAAGTTACGAACGGGACACGAGACCCATGCAAGGTGACCACCTCATGAATTGTTGAAATAATTAAACATAAAAATATATGCAAAAAATATAACATTGTACGTAAAAATAAAAATAAGAATGGAAAAATATTGGTTTAGACTAAAAGCAGATCATAATCATTTTACCTTTGAGAGGTACTTTAATGGTTCCTTGAATAAGACTTATCACTTCACACTTTAGTTTGCACACTTCTATCTCCAATTCACGAATTCTGAGGAAAAACCAAAATCTAGTGGTCATACTCTTTCTAAATTATTCATTCTATTTCTCCTTTTCATTTTTAAAACTCCCTTTGCTTTCTTTTTTCCTGTTTCCTTTCAAGAGGGAAAAAACTAAATTTGGAAACGTGCGGTAAATAGCGCAGCGCCCTGATTCTAAAAATAGC